GAAATGTTGTCGTTCGTCCAGTGATTGGGCCAAGATTTGGCACACGGCTTATCGGAATGCCGCCGACCGAGAATAGTAACGCACCTAGCGAATGTCTGCCTACAGTGGTTCTCTGGCTTTCGTGTTTTTGATGGAGCAAATCGGAACCTGCCATTTCTTACGTAAAAGAAAGACAAAGCAAATTTTAAAAAACGAAAGAAGGCTTCTGAAAATTCAAGAACATCTCCAATTAAAGAAACATATTTCTCTGCGAAATGTGTTAATAATAAAGCACATCTTGCCCACACAGCACTCCCATTTTATTCTATTTTTCCCCGTATGAAAATGCTTGAAAATTCAAATTAAAGAATTCGTATTTCTGTTATTTTCTACATTTATTTCCTTTATTAGCACGTGTTAAATTTTCGTAGATTTTTCGAAGATTTGAAACTTCGTTAGAAATACATGTTTTTCATGGTACTAAGAGTTCAACCCCTTAAAGTCTCGATTTTGTGCCATTAAGTAAACAACTGATACAGCAGATTTTCATCCCTTGTATTGTGGATAATATTGAACGTAGTGTTTGTATAAGCAATTCATTTTGAAAGCCATTTAACTCCATCTTCCGCTAAAGTCAAGTTAATACTTAGACAATCGCTTAAAAACACTATAACTATAACCTTTTTCATTAACTTTGACTGAACTCGTTCAACAGATTTGATTGAAAATTGTGTTTCACAAGAGCAAGAAATTTTCAAGAAATATTTATTGAATCTTAAATATCCCGCGTTCAAGACTTACTAAATAATAAAAGAGAAAAATAAATAAAATAAATGTAATTCGTTGCTAAGAGAAAATTGGGAAGTCTCCCCATTCGGTTGGCTAAGTGTGTGGCACATGTTTTCAAGGCAAGAAATAAAGCCACTTTCAAAATAAACATCTCATTAAACGTCTCATATTATTATTTTATATATTCGGCAACATTTTTCAATGACGCATTACACGTCTGCATCGATTCGTGAGTGACACGCTTCACAGAGATACAGGTGTTGAAACAGCCATGATATCGATTCCAGTTCTTTAAACAGTTATGGAAACATAGCATTGTAACTGTTATGTAGCTCGCTGCAAAAGTTTCCGGAATCTTTCAACGTGAGAATATATTTTATTTTCGTAAAGCTTTACACTTTCAAGGTTAAGAAGTGCTCCAAAAATTTAACTGAAAATGTATTACTCCCTTTTCCTATAATATCGAGTCAGACTCGTAATGAAAACTTTCAACCGATTTCGACATGTCTGAATGTTATTTATTTGTTTTCCAGGTAAATGAAATATTACTTGTCTATTATCAGTATTTAACCCACAGAGTATACATGAACACAGAACAAGCATCAAATTCCCTTCTTGTCCTACTAAATTATTAACGATTAAGTAGTTTTAACGAGCACAGTTGTGAAAGAATTCATAGGAAATGATCGAAGGAAATTATTATGGAAAGCAAAACCATTAGTTCAAACTTATTTGTGACTTCTGTCATACTTTCTCGAAACTTTTGCAGCAACCCACGTATTAGATATATCGGTATCGATTCCGGTTCTTCAGAATCGATATTATATCGGTTCTGCAACTGTTATCTTTCGATCCTAAAAGAAATACAGAACCGAAAAATAACGGTTATAAAAGCGATCTAATACTGGCTCCGAAGAGATAAAACTGTTTTATAAGGTTTTTTTTTCTAAATGAAACTTTCACTAATGCATTTGTGAGATTCTTCTGATTAAAACAAGACCAAGCATGACATACATTACAATAATCTATTTTCATCTAGTTAATTGTAATTTAAAATAACCGATTTTCTTATTTATTACTTATTTAGTAAATAAGTAAATATGTTCCAAAATATATCGAGTTTGGTCTTGTTTTAATGAGAAAAACCTCACGATTCAATTGATACAAGTTTCAATTAGTAAAAGTGAGAAATAAAAAAGTTCAACATTGCATTAATATCTCCTCATTCATCTATTTGTTTTGATCGTTCCGAAGGTCGTGTGTCCTGCCTTTTCATTCGCGCTGTCCTCCTCTATAGAGGACAAACAGAAGAGCTCGGTTCGGATCTTATCTCGACTTCGAATCAACAACACTGCACGAATTAGCGGCCAGTTGCAGTCCCGATTTTCGGGTATTAATCGCGAGAATACTCTACCTAAGAACAATTGAGCCACTCACTGGGCAAATCGATTAACTCCACAAAACAAAAAGTGGAGAAAAGTAATGCAATAGTTATATATTGATTTTGAAAATTTCCCTTTAAATGCAAAATCAAATGATTATTATAGAACGTATTTTACTTTATTGTTACAGGTGCAATTTAAATCTATTGAACACGTAAAATAAATAAAATAATATATCGTTAATGTCATTTTTATTATTATTGCAATTTCTATATGGCCAAAAGACTTTTTATTATTTTGTAGTACCAAACCCAGTCTTGGATTGGGATGGAATTTATTTAAAATATATAAAGTTAAGTGCCAATGAACGCTTTAATGATAAAATCTTAACCTCTTGTACTGGAAAGGCGTATCACGCATATCGAGGTTATTTTTGTTCCAAAATTGCCAGTGACATCTTATAAACATCGATAGTCTTGTTACATTAGGTATATAGTAACGCTCGCTTAAATTCCACAATTTTGGGTCCCTACAGTGGAATTTAACCGAGCGTAAAAACAAGGGAAGCTATTTGCTGCCAGGAATTGACCAGTGCACAGCCTGACGAAAGCAGAGAATCGATATGATGAGCGAAAGCGGAATAGACAGTCCGTCAGGCATCGAGGGACGAAACGCGGGACTTCAAAAGCGATGCCGCACGCGTTAAATATAAACATGCAATGAAGAAAATTTCAATCGCAGTAATTTTACCCTTACCTTTCTCAAATGTAGTGCCAGTAAACTTCTGAGATTGTTGTAATTAAAATAAGTCCAAACACGATAAAAATCGGACTAGTTTTACCCACTTAATGTAATTAACGAAATTAAAGGTTCATTTCCTTTAAATCGAAAAACTAGACCGATTTTCGTCGTATTTGGGTTCATTTTAATGAAAAAAATCCCAACATTCCATAGTATTACGGTTGAGAAGGTAAGGTTAAAATTATTGCAATTGAAATTTTCTTCAGTGTATATTTATACTTGACACGTACGGTATCTCTTTGACCTGTGTCCTTCTCTCTTCCCCTCATTGTATTCATTTTCTGTCCCTGTCTACTGGAATCACGTTGTACCGAGCTCGAGACTTACTGAGGGAAGAGTAGGGTTGGTGCAGTGGAATTAAGCCGAGCAGATTTCTGTGGAATTTAAGCGAGCATCACTAAATTCCAGCGCAAGAGGTTTAAAACATTCATAAAGTGGAGTTAATCGATTTGGTCACTGATGGGCTTAATCATAACTTCATTTCAGTTCTTGATAATTGATTCACTCGGAATCAGTACATAACATTTTCAAACACTAATTTTCAATCCCTGCGCGGCACTCATTTTTCCGTCAACATGTCGAAGTTAAAGGGACCAAACATGTCTCGCGATCCTTATTATCTGTTTCCCATTTCCTTCCAACCCATTTCTGATTATCGTTCATTATCTCTTTGCATTGCATAATTCATGAACGAACCCGTGAATCGCTGAACAGCGTTAATCGGTGTGTACGATCTCGGAATTAGCATACACTCGTGCCGCGTAAAGAAACACGCGGATGAGATTCATTGCGAGTATCGATCCACGCAAATAAAAGAAACCGTGCTCGCGGACAACAGTCATGCGCCTTGTGCTTCGACCTAAATAATCGCGCGCGCACGCGATCTCGCCCGGAACGTAAACAAACAAAGTTATAAAAGAGTTTGCCTGTGTGCGTGTATGTGCACGTGAGAGGGAAAGAGAAAGAGAGCACGGCATGCATTATCAAACGGCCCGATTGTAAGATTAGAATTTTGATTGTCCGACTTTGCGGACGAATATCGACATTTTGAGGAAATCAAATTTCCATATTTGAAATACTAACAAGAAAAGGTATAGAACTCGGAAATTCAATAAATTATGAAATTTTTGTGTAAGTAGAGTAAGTCAAACCTAATATATTGCAATTTCTTTTTCGTGCTGAATTTCACTGTGAAGGGATGAAGCGACAATTCTAATTTCTTTTCTTTTAGCGTAATTTTAATAGATTATCGATCAAGTAGTCAAAATTGAAAAGCCGATTAATAAGCTTGCGGTGGATAAAGTGTTAATCTGTTAACTGTAAAATTTAGTTTAAAAAATCTCTTGTTTTGCGCGCAATAAAGTTAAAAAATTATGTATTTACTCGTGAAACGCAGTTAATGCATTATTAACCGGCAATTTTACGCAGAAGCTATCCCATCTCACCGGTTATTATTCCGTAATTAAATATAAATGCGAAACAATCTAAATCAACTTCAGTATACTTTATTCATACTTTGCTATTTTTATTTTGCTTTTGCAGTATTTTATATTGCCCTACGTTTCAAAAAAATTGAAATGGCTAATGCAAGTGCAAAAACGAGTTAACTCGTGACCGGTCAACAATGTCTTAACCTGTTAACCGTGGAATGTAGTTTCAAAAATCTCTCGTTTTGCTAGCATTAAAATCAAAAAATGTAGTGTGTACTCGTCAAACGCAGTTAACTGATTAACACGTTGAATGCCATGGGAATCACCGGTGACGCCTAACCAAATCGAATTATTATAGTTCACTCAATTAAAGGATGATTATTTTGCCTAATACGGTGACACTCAGCTAGATGAACGTGTAACAATAATAATAATGTAATTCAATAGAATGATTTAATATTATATTTTTCTCATTTTATGTATTTTACTCTATGAAATCCTGCGGCAGCCAACCTGTTAAGAAGGCACGCATTGACGAAACACAGACCAACGTTCGACTTTCCCTTCGTTTAGGTTTCCTTATACGATACATAGTCATAAAACTATATTTCTTTTACAGATAACGCCGTGCAACACACCGGCCACGCCGCCAAATTTCCCCGACGCGCTACTCGCGTTCTCCAAAATGTCCGCCGGAGAAAAAACTCCCTCGGGTAAGTTTCACTCTAATTACCGGCGCGCACGGAACTTCTTCGTTCCGCCATCGTTCTTTCTGCTGTTCACCCTCTTTTCGGTAATTATACAGAAACAAGCGCCACCCACCGATTCCAATGAGGTTAAAGTGCGGTGTCGGTGGCACGATTCCGAACAGCTTTTTCGTACGGATGTTACCGTTACTCGGTTTTAGTTTCCGATATATTCGCAGAATTATATTCGATGCTGGGTTTAGTTGAGGACGGATGGCCCAGTTTCTTTTTTAACCCATTGCACTCGAATATTTTTCGTTAGAATTATTTAATATTTTCTGGTGATATCTAGGGGACATCCTTCGAAACAAACTAATGAGAAGACATACATAAATGAACAGTAAAACTATCGGATAAGTCAAATTGATCCACTTCAGAAGTTATTATTTTACATAAAATTACTAATCATAAATTATTAATCATAATTTAAGTATTTAAATTATGAAGACGTTATTGTGAAAGATTAAATTAGAAAAATGTAATAGTTCAACTTGAATAATTAATAGTTAAAATTATTTTTAAAATACATTTTTATTCGATTAAAAAAAATGCCTTTCTTACACTCCCTAAATTCAGTGGTATTATAAAAAATGTTTTTAACCCTCTCTTTTGATGAAATGTCATTTTTCAAAATAATTGTTTGCGTTAAATATCAGTATATTAATATAAATGTTATCTTGGTAATTCTTTCACTGTCTGAATACTTTTATTCGTAAGTACTACATACACTTATCTCTCGATTTACGTATTATATGTATTCTTTAATATTCTTATTAATCAGACGTATTATATAATATTATATTACAATGTTTAGTACACAGTATATTGCATTCTTTAATATTATTATTACACTGTGGATTTTCGTAAATAAACCGCGAACGTAAGTAACTTTATCTTGCTTCGGGCTTTCATATGATATAAAAAAAAATATGTATCACTTTGAAAAAGCAGAAGTCACCTTCGTTTCTCCAAGAATATTGCAAACGTAAAAAATTTACATACGTCGCTATATAACCTATAAAAAGAACAGTACAATTCTTCCTCTTCCGTTTTTTCCTGCGATTTTTACTTATCATTCATGAGAAAAACGTTGGCTTTCGATCACGCCAAGATATTGTTCTATACTTTCTTGAAAATATTCCTTTTGTTGAATTTTACATATTAATAAATAAATAAATAGAATTAATAATTATTTATTTATGTACCTTTTTGATTGATTAAAAAATCATAATTTATCTTATGGATTTCATTGATATGAAACATTACTGGGAACATTAATAGGTATCACGTTCATCTAAATTTTATAAATCAATGAGATAATTTATTGTTTCGTGTAACACGAAATTATACGAATGCATTAAGAACAAAATCCATTGAATTTTTTAATTTCGATGTAATTAACAAAGAAATATTGACCGTTTTCAAATACAATATCAACGCAAACAACAAATAAAATATAAATTGGTATTTGCTTTCTCCTGAGTGTTTTCGCAAAAATGTGAAAAAAAGTATTTTCAAAACGAACGCAGATCTTTCACATATTTCTCTTTTGTACCGGTGCATTTCATTTATACGCTTTTCATACGCGTAAAAAACAAAACGTGCGTTGAATACTCCGCCTAAATTCAGGAACGGGTGTACACCTTTTTCGTAAAATCCTTATTTCATTCAATTTCTGCATTCTTTTCGTCTAAAACGAATTTTTTTTTTAATTTCTTGTGGTCAAAGTGTTAAATAAACAAGCGAAGAAAATGATACACGAGGGTGTAACACATTCACATTCGAGACATGTTTCTATATGTTTAATTGTAGATTATAATAATAACAATGTTTACAAAAATGACGTTGCAGTGTATTCTTTTGTTATATCTCTAGTTTTCTATCTTCAGTTGTTTATTATGGGTAATTGTTAATAAACAGTTTGATAAATCATTTGCTTATTAACGCTGATTTATTTTAATATTATAAATTAACTGTGTATATACATGTCGGCATGAACGTGTTGAAGAATTGTTGCAAAGTCGAGACTCCATTCTTCGAATTCTTGGTACAAATTATCGCGAAAAAAATTCCTTAGTAACCGTAGAGAAGTTAGAAAAATTCGCAAAATTGTTGAAACAAGAAGCTGTATTTAGTTTCACACCTGTTACATAATTAAAAAAGAATGTTACAGGAAATAATCAGAGTGGGTTCCGAAAGTAGAGGATTAGTACCTTGAAATGAGTTCAGCCTGACTGTCATACACCTATATTTCAAAATTAAGTTACACTACTTTGACCTTGAACAATTTATCAATGGAAATTGTCTGACCCTATAATTTTGCTCATCAGTGTATATATATAAATGTGTATAATATACACATAGTGTTGCTTCAAAATGTTTTGTTTAATTTATAAGCAATTTAAAAAGTTAATTATTTCGCTACGAGATTATCTGAATCATTTTAGTCCCAATTAGTTCGAATAATTTGAATTCTACTACTGTACTTGAAAATTTCGTTAATTACGAACGAAATTCGAAATCGCCCATTTTAATTGTTCCAGTAGTTTTAGTGTTACAAACACTGATAGTGTCTTGGATAGAATATGAAATATTCAAGTAGCACGATAAACAGTTCCAGTGTATTTCACTTTGCGGAAAGTTCTTGCAATTCGAGGAAACACATTATCGTTACTTGCATTGTCATTTTTCGCTGAATCCTATTTCCACTGCAGCGTTCTCCCTTCAACGTAGAATTAGTCGTCCTTTTGCGCATACTAATCGATTTAGAAGAGTGAAGGGAAACATTCTTTATGCTACATGTTTATTTCCAATCGTTTCACCTGTTAAATTAATGCAAATATTGTTTATTATTTCATTTGTATAATACTTTCACGTGTTGTCATGTTAATTACAATAAAATGCTACATGTTTAAACAAAGATACATATTTAAGGACAAATTTTAAGAAATTGGGTCTAATAGAAGTTTTCTTTTGCTTTCAATGTTTACAGGAAACATATTTTGTTTAAAGGAAAACAAAATAAAATTTCATTAAATTTCATTGAATCTTGTATTTCATCATTTTCTGAAGATTTTTATATTCTATAACTTCATGAATATTTACAGTCCAGTTATAATAAATCTTTATTATTATTTAAGGTACATTTCGAATTTTTTAATATCTTTGTATCTTTTTTTTGATATCTTTTATAAATACATAGCAAAAGCAATAACCACACAGCGCAATGGAAATGAACAGGCAGTTAATTACTTTAGAAAAGGAGAACTTGTGTACACCCTTAGTCCTGATCATTGATTTTCATGAAACACGAATGTACAGGGTGATTCATAAATACACGTCGAAAAGCAAGTAGAGTCGAAATAATGATTTTAGTGAAACGACAACTGAACGATCGAAATTTCTCACAGTAATTGCTCTTTTAATTTTCTTACAGCTTGAAGTTTTAATAAAATTTGACTCATTCGATATGTTACTGATAGAATTACGCAGTGTAGTGTGAATTATAAAACATTTTATAAGCCAAATATAAAATCCACAGATCGAATTGACAGAATATAACCCTACAGAATAACATACGACATATAAACATAAATCGATAAAATTCAAAACTCACACAAATCACGCACACGCCAAATTCACTGGCAACACTTTACATCGATTATATTAATTAACATTCGTTCAACAATTACAGACGAAATGATTAATTTATACGTCTAAATTAACACTAGAACTGCCAGTTGGGTCAAAATGATTTCAGTTTGTTTATTTCACAATTAAACCGTGAATAGATCCAGTGTCACGCATATGTGACGCGTGGTCGCGAACGTGTTAACCCCTTAACCGCGGAATTTTTTTCGCGCGAGTCGAGACTGCAACGCGGAGGAGTTTTTCTCCGAGATTTTTCGCAATTTAACGCGTTTCAACTCTTTCTTCTCCTCGAGCTTACTGTTTTCCTACAACTAGTTTTCTAACAAAAAAGGATGTTTATATTTAACCCTTTGTACTCCGTTGGCTCTGCTATGAAGGAATAATTTGCATCATAAATATCATACGATTGATTTCAAATTGTAAAATTCTTCCTTTTCTTTTTACTCGAATAAAGCAATTTGATAAAAGAAATTCAAAAAACGTTAATCCATGAATGCTTGTCGTTTGTCTTTTTCGAAACATAATTTTACATACTGGAAAGTTTCGCTATAGAAACGAACTGTTAAAGTATCGAAGATGTCCGGAGCGCAAAGAGTTAATAAATATAATAAAAAAGGAAATAATATACAAATATGTATATTGAAATTTTAGTTCTAGAAATTTATTTTAATTCTTTGTGGACGAAGATTTTTTGAAATATACAAAACTTTCAACAGGTGAAGCTAAATTATGTACCGATTGCTTAAATAATAGAAAAAAGGAAACTACGTACAGATCTATTGCTGTTTGAGTAATCAAATCGTTTATTCGCTATTTAGTCTTCCAAATATGAAAATCTGATCTCGCCCATTTTGTTGGGCGCAAGAGAACTACATTGCTTGCACATAAAATGAACTAATTTGCTGTTTTCTCCTTCTATGCTTTTTCGTTCTTTTCTCATATAACGACTATCTCGATGAATTTTTGCGAACGCACCATATGAAGAGTATCGCTGTTAAGGGTCAAAATGGCCTATTCCTGATTTCTTCATTTTGCAATTATTAAAAAGATAACGGATGTTTCTCTGAAAAATGATGAAAGAAATTGATTTAGCAATACGCACACAGAATTATAAATCGATTAAAGTCTCAGTAAATGCACTCTTGGAATTTGTATAGCGAAATTTCGAAAAGTCAGTTTTACTGGTCGTTAGTTTTAGTGTGAACGTCGTATTTATAACGCTATATTTCCCTGAGAAATTATTAAAGAAATTGATTCAGCAATACGCGCATTAAATTATAAATCAATTAAATTCTCGATAGATGCACTCTAGTAGT